ACCTGATGGGTGGGGCAGGTCGAGGCGTTTAAGTTGCCGCGTGGCTACTGCCGCCTACCAACACAAGAGCTGTGGGGTTCTCCCGGACCTTCTGGTGTGTGCTTTGGTCTATTTAACGTTTTCTTTTGATGCCTCTTGAATATTGACCTACTGGGTTGTAAAGGTCCAGGCACATAGTTGATGACAGAGCCCTTTAGCCAAAAGGTAGCATCAGTAGCTGCACCTGCCAGAACTAACTTGTGACAAGTCAGATCCTGTTTCTCCTTAAGTCAGCTTAAATATCATAAAAGAACATAGTCTCTGGGGTCAAGACTGTCTGGGCCAAAGTTCAGCACTGCTACTTTATAGCTATGGGACCGCAGGCAAATACATAACTCCCTGAGCTTCAGTTTTTTCATCTGTAAAGGACATGGTGGTGTGGATTAAATGACGTGTTTGGAACAGGGATTGGTACAAAGTAAACACTCGATACACTATTATCAATATAGACTGTTTGGTTCCGCCCCCCCCCCCCCCGCATGAAATCTCATATGGAAAGCTTCATATAAAACAAAAGAAAGCATAGTTGCTCTGGTTGAAGGTGGACCCAAAAGCTTTGGCTTCTCAGTTCCAAAGGTGGTCTATAAGGTTCTCTAATGGAATCCCCAAGCTTCCTAACATATAGACAAAAACAACTTATTGGAAAAAGGCCAAAGTTCTTATAAAGACAAACTACCCTTTTCTATTGTTACTCCAACAACTTTTACTTCTGCCCACACTGTATTCCTCCTCTCTGTCTCCATGTCTGTCCCTAGTTATTCCATCTATTGAGAGTGTTCTGTCCATTTTTTAAAAAAAATAATGCTTTATTTATTTATTTTTACAGAGAGGAGAAGAGAGGGAGGAAGAGAGAGAAACGTCAATGTGAGAGAGAAAAACAGCGATGGGTTGCTTTTCACATGCACCACAACCTGGGATGGTGCTCACACCCCAGGTGTGTACCCTGACTGGGAATGGAACTGGTGATCTTTCTCTTCATGGGACAACATTCAGCCAGCTGAGCCAGACCAGTCAGTGTTCTTCTCCTTATTTATCATTTGAAGTCTGATTAAAATTATAACTCTTTTGTGGGTGACCAAATAAGAAATTTCCATTTTATTATAATCCCCTTTCACCTTCAGCATATCTCAGCTATGTGCTTGGACCTTTACAACCCAATATGCTGGTGTATATACCTCAGCAAGAATTAAAAGTTATTTTCTGCTCTGTTTTTGGAGTAGAAAAGGTCTGTTGTGATTATAAGGCTTATGTGATTCCCTTATGTGACTATAAGGAAACACTTTGTTCTCATGGTAGCAAAAGGAAAAGCAGGAAAGTTCCCAAGCATTATGGGAGGAGAGACAAAGGGTAGAGCTGTAGAAGGGAGTCTGATGCCCCCAGGGCACTGCTCTGTGCCCCAGATACAGCCTTTTGTGGTTATGGGATGATACTTCAACCAGCTGAGCAACCTGGCAAGGGTCACTATGTCTTCTGATTGGAGCATTTAAGCCATTTACATTTAAAGTGATTATTGATAGGTACATATTTATTGCCATTTTATTCTTTTAACTATATTCCTTTCTCCTCTTTCTCCTCCTTTTCCTCTTCCTTTTTCTTCTTCTAGAAGGCCCTTTAATGTGTCTTGTATTACTGGTTTGGTGGTAACAAATTCCTTTAGCTGGGTAAAGTAGTCTTGGTTGTAGGTCCTTGCTTTTCATCACTTTGAATATTTTATGGCATTATTTTCTGGCTTGAAATGTTTTTTGTTGAGAAATCAGCTGAAAGTCTTATAGGAGTTCCCTTGTAGGTAAACTGTCTTTTTCTTGCTGCTTTTAAGATTCTCTCTCTTTAAACTGCCATTTTAATTATGATGTGTCTCGGTGTGTGGGTCTCTGTGGGTCCATCTTGTTTGGGACTCTCCGAGGTTCTTGGTTTTGTGTGTGGTTTTCCTTCGTCAGGTAAAGGACGTTTTTATTATTTCTTCAAATAGGTTCTCAATTCCTTACTCTCTCTCTTCTCCTTCTCATGCCCGTATCATGAGGATGTTGTTACACTTCATGTTGTCCCAAAAATCCATTCACTATCCTCATTAAACTTTTTTTTTATTGCTCTGAGTGTTTTCTGCTACATTGTCTTCCAAATTGCTTATTCTATCCTCTGCTTCATCCAAACTACTATTTATTCCTTCTAGTGTATTCTTCATTTCAGGTATTGTATTCTTTACTTCTGACTTGTTCTTTTTGATGGTTTGTATGTTCTTTTTTTTTTTATGCTTGCCTTATTTTTGTTGAAGTTCTCATTAAGTACCTCGAGCATCCTTATAACCATCCTTTGAACTCTGTATCTGGTAAATTGCTTGCCTCCATTTCATTTAGCTCTTTTTATGGAGATTTCTCCTGTTTTGTTTTTTTCCCCTTCATTTTTGTATCCCCATTTTGGCTGCCTCTTTGTTTTTGTTCTCTGTTTATTAGGTAGATCTACTATGACTCCCTGTTTTGGCAAGGTGCCCTTATGTAGTAAGTGTCCTGTGGGACCCAATGGTACAGTCTCCTTGATCAGCAGAGCTGGTGCTCCAAGAATGTCCATTGTGTGGGTTATGTGGGCCCTCTTGTTGTAATTGAGTCTTGATTGCTATTGGCCCATTTGTGCATGGTATCAACTCTCAGGCTAACTGACTATGAGGATCAACCCCAACCACAGTGTGCAACTGCTGTTATGGTGCTAAACAAATGGAGCAAAATTTGCCTCAGCAGGGTCTGGTGCCTTGTGGGATCTCTCTATGGATATGCCACTTATGAAACTAAATGGATCCTGCTCTGATGTTGTCTGAGCTGGCCACTAAGTGTACTATTCTGGAGCCTCTTGGTGGGGACACTGTGTAGGCCACTATCAGACACTGCCTGTGACTGGCGCTGAGCAACAGGATTAGAACTACAAAACAATCTACAGTTTATGGCTTCCTCTTCTGGGCCTGTGTGTGTGGGAAAGATGAAGCTGTGCACCAAGGCTGGCTTTTATTGTCAATGGGCCTGAGGGCAGATCAGCACAAGTCCCAAGGAACTGCAAGATCTGCCCCCATTTGCCTCTGTTTGCCAGTTGCCTGTTAGGCTCAGTCACTGAAAGAGCCTCTGGAGGCACACGTGTTGTATGAGGTAGGTTCTCAGTGAGTCACCAGGTAGGGGTGAGTGGTGTTCATCAGATTGATACAGGTTCAGACTTTGTGCCAGCACTGGGTCTGAGGCCACTCAGCAAAAGTTCCAGGGCATACCAAGTCTAGCTGCCAGTAGCAGTGTGTTTACACACCTTTGTGGTGGGTGGGGTCTTAGGGAGTCATCAGGGTGAGGCCAGTGGAGTTTATCAGGCCCAAACAGACCCAGATTTGGCCATTTGAAGACAGGGCTCTGCACAAGTAGGGTGTGCAAGGAAAAAAATTTCCTTGTCCTAGAGCCAGACAAATAAGTGTCCCAGATTCTGCCAAGAGCCCAATCTCAGCACTGTGGGATTACCAGGAGTTGGGAGAGGGGGAGGAGCTTGTCAAAGTTGGGGGAAGTTGAGGGGAGTGGCCCCTGCCACAGGGCCATACAACTTAGTCTGTTTTAGATTCTACCCTGGGCTCGACAGGGTGGAGTCAGCAAGAGTCAGGAGGGTGGGGCTGCTGAGATCCTGAAGAGTGGGGCTAGGGGATCCCCTGTGAGGAGGGGGCACCAGTCAGTTTCATGGAAAAGTGGGAACAATGGCTCCACCCCAAAACTACGCAATTCAGTCACTGACACCCCCTGGATCTGCCAGGACTCCAACATGCACACCCTGTCCTTGGCAGCTAATTCTTCAGCAGGGTGGAAGCTCCGCAGGGCTGGGCAACAGGGAGTCCAGAGGGTGGGGCTGATGCCATACAGAGGGGAGTGCTCCACCCAAGAAAGACGGCACCTGCAATGTGGGTGGGTGACTCAGCATAAGGGTCCTGGCTGCTATCCTCTTAACTCTTTCCCCAGAGCCACAAACCCCAGTTTCTCCTAGCATGATTCTGGTCTGTTCTGACCTCTCTCCTTCAGAGACCAGGGTGAGGGGCTGCAAATAATATTTTGTGTGTTGGCCCTTTAAAAAAGCACCAGTGTCTCTAGTAGACTCTCATCTCTCCCTGGTGGATAGACTCTACTGATTTTCTCAGCCACATGTTATGTGGACACCTCTTCCTGGCCCAGTGCTCTGAGCTGTGGTGCTCAGCTTGGGGTGCTCACTCACCTCCACAGCTTAGACCTCCCTCTGGAACCTTAGCTCAATCCACTGAGCTCCTGCCAATGGGAGCAGGGACAGGGTTTTTGAGTCTCTCCCTTTCTACTAGTCTTGATGTGGCTTCTTCTCTAGACCCTTGGTTTTGAGACTTCTCTTCAGCTTGCCTTCAGATGGTTATTATGGGTGATTGCTCTATATTTTAGTTATAATTCCAGTTTTGTCCTGGGAGGAGGTGAGTGTAACATCCACCTGCTCTACCACCATATTGGACCCTGGAGAACACTTCTGAATCATTAATTTGGATCACAAATATTTGTACATATCTTTTTTTCCTTGTAAGATTTTAAAGGCAAGTATCCTGTCTTATTCACATTTATATTCTGCAGTGTCAACCATCCACTAGAACTCAAGTAGCTTTAAAAACAGAGCCCTTGAATATCTTGTTCATCACTGTATTCCCCAGTATCTAGCATAAGGCCTGGCACATAGCAGACATGCTGTAAGTGTACTTGAATGACTGAATGAATGGATTTTAAAACATAAGCTTCAGCCCTGGCTGGCGTAGCTCAGTGGATTGAGTGTGGGCTGTGAACCAAAGTGTCGGAGGTTCGATTCCCAGTCAGGCCACATAACTGGGTTGCAGGCCATGACCCCCAGCAACCGCACATTGATGTTTCTCTCTCTCTCTCTCCCTCCCTTCCCTCTCTAAAAATAAATAAGTAAAATCTTTAAAAAAAACATAAGCTTCATTATGGCAGGAATTTTTGTTTTATTCATTGTAAAATGACTATTTGAACATTACCATGTGAATAAATAATTTCGGGAAGGTTTAACATTGATTGTATAAAACAAAAATGCTTGAATCTATATATCTTCACAGAATTCAAACATATTTATGTTAACTTTCACCCAACTAATTCAGTAGAGGATATAGCTTTCTGAAAATAAGATATCCCTCAGAAATGCAAGAGTAAAATTTAAAAGAATCATAATAAAATGGGTGTTTACATTAAGAGTAGTTTCAGTTTTCTTCCTTGTATTTTTCTGTATTCTAAATTTTCTGTAATTAAAATATATTATTTTATAATCAGAAAAAATAATCAATACTGTCTTGAAAGACTGTAATGGATGAGACTGTTTGCAAATACAAGTGATTGGCTCAGGAAATTTTGAGGGCACCCAAGTCCAGTCAAGGTTATTTGGTATCAATACCAAAGAGAAAAATGCTGAAATGTGAAAATCACTTAGAGATCTGAAACCTATTCAGCCTATCTAAGAGAAAGAAAAAAAAACTTCTCACAGAGAATATGAATGGCACTGGTCGTAGGAATTAAAAGGGCACTGAAGAACAAGAACTTTCAGTGTTTGTTTAGTATCATCCTTAGAAATATGACATCCTGCTTTGGACTGAACTGTGTCCTCCTCTTTTCCCCACCCCCTTGCTAATTCAATATTTTGAAGCTCTAACCTCCAGTGTGATAGTATTTGGAGTTGGGGCCTTTGGGAGATAATTAGGTTTAGATGAGGTCAGAAGGGCAGGGCCCTGATGATGGGATGAGGACTCTAATAAGAAGAGAAACAAGAGAACTTGCATACTCTCCTCACCATCTCTTTCCTCACCCTGTGAGAACACAGTGAAGAGGAGGCAATGGGCAAGCCAGGAGGACCGCTCTCATCAGCAACCTCGTGTTAGTCTCTCAGCCTCTGAAACTGTGAGAAAATACTCATCTGTTGTTTAAGCTACTCAGTCTATGGTATTTTGTTAGACAGCCTGAGGTGAGTAAGTCAGACTAAGCAGACTAAGGTCTGAACTGTTATGTGCCAGGTAGTTTTCTACAGTGGAAGAAGATCCCCTCACTGATTAGGTCAATAAATGTTTATTAAACACCTACTATCTTCCATGCCCTATGCAAAATGCTGAAGACTCACAGATGACCAAGACAGTGCTCCCACCCATATCTGGCTGATTTAATAGGAGACAAACACATAAAAACAAATAACAAAAAGGGATTATGAGTGCTCTGACAGAAGTATGTGTAGGGTACATATACTCTTCTTTCAGGGACCTGAATGTAAGAAAAATTGTTTCCATCTGTGGTCGGGGTTGAGTAAATTTGGTTGGCCTGACCAATGCTCTGAATGAGGTTAACATCTAGATTCTAGATAGTTGCGAGGGGAAGAACCAAGGAAGATATTTTGTGCACTTTAACATTTTGGTGGGACCAATCAGACATAATAAGAAGAGTAGAAGTGGAGGTGAGGCATATTAGCAGTGAAAGTGAGGGTAGAAACTGATGAGGCACTGGATTATGGTATTTAAAAACAAACAAACAAACAAACAAACAAACAAACAAACAAAAACAGAGGAGCCAAAAAAAAAAGGAGCCAACTCAACACATGAGAGGCTAGGTGACCATGGATCATGAAGCTGTGAGAGTGACAGTTAAATCAGAGAAAGCTGTTGGCTAGCAAAACAGGATTCTGAACCTAGTCTTTCCCATGTGCTTTTTAAATTGTGGTAGTACATTAAAGTGTGTGTGTCCCTATGCAAATCAAGATGTATGATGAAGGGGTGTTTGAAAAAAAAGAGAAGGTAGAGGGGTTAGGTTGAAGATGCAGAACATCACCTCCCACTTATAAAGGATAATGGCTAAAAATGCTGTTTAAAGAAATAGCCACACTTTTGGTTTTATTACATTTTAAGACTAGACATTACATATTTCACTATCCACTTTGATAAAAGTAGTCTCTGCTAGTTGCCAAAAGTAGCCTCTGTTAGCAGCTTTGTAATCATTATATTCAGCATTCTTTCTTTTCACCTCTAAAGTCGTACAGAAATCTCCCCTTGAACTTCTTCATCTTTATGGTGATGTTCAGCTTTCTGGAGAAGTCTGGAGCCAAGCAAACCAATCAAGAGACTTCCAATTGGGGCCGTGATGAGGATGGCCAAAAATGCCACTGTCAACACATCCATTCCATATTCTTCTAACTGTTTGTCTTCATGTGATCTTGCTGTGTCCAAAGCAACAGATCCTATTGCAGCCTATAAGAGTTTAAAGGTAAATTTGGAAACATGCTACAATAAGCACATAGCCATAAGGTGAATTATTTTTAAACAAATTGCTTATTCTTTTCTCAACTAATAAAGTTCTATCAGTCTTCATTCAAAGTATACTGAAGTTGGTTCTGATTGTTTGGAAACTGTCCCTGCCCTCGCATAGGGAAAAATGATGATTCATGTGTACCTATTTGCATAAGATAAGGTTACAAAAATATCAGGCAAATATATTTCAAAACACAGATTCATAATATTAATTAACTACAACATGATTCCATATACTAAATTTCTCCTAAATAAAAATGAAAGTTACTGGTCATCTCATTCTTTCATGTTTAGGAATTTGCACTTAAGAAAGAGCAAGATGAGCCCTGGCCAGTGTGGCTCAGGTGGTTGGAGCATCACCAGGTGCACTGAAGGTTCACTGCTTTGATTCCTGGTCAGTGCACATGCCTCAGTTGTGGGTTTAGTTCTTGGTCAGGAGCATCTGAAAAGCAACCAATCACTGTTTCTCTCTCTCATATTAATGCTTCTCTTCCTTTCTTTCTTCCTCCCTTCCCCTCTCTCTAAAAATAAATAAACAAAATCTTAAAAAGAGAAAAAATAAGATGAGAAATGCAGTGATACTTACTGGAAGAGGGTACACTTTTAAATGAAAACAAAAAAAAGAATATGTATTGCTTTAGAGTCAAAACTAACTTTTAAACATCATGAAACTTGAAAGTGGTGAGAACCTTCAAAACCTGAAGTTAATTTCACTAAGTATTTGGTTTACTCTGTGCCTCTGGAGTTGGTGAAATGTTTCATTTAAAGGTTACCTACTGGGAAATCTTATGAAAATTCTCATTTTCTTTTAGAGGCAAAATACAATATTAGCGCACATGGGAAGATAACATATTAGTCACTTTGGTTATTCTCTTATTCCACAGAACACATTAGCCTCTGGGACAGTGAAACAGAGGAGCAGACATCAGTATGCACATGCTGAGCACAGTGGCCACCCCGCCAGCTCTGCAATGCCCCTGGCGGACTGCTGGTGAGAAGGTGAAGGCTGTCTAATTTAGTCCCTGCACTTAGGCTTCTTCGTTATTGTAGATTACCTGGTATCATAACTAACGGAACATTTCACAAATTCTTGGCAGGAATTGTACATATTACGATATATATTTGACCCTTAAACAACATGGGTTTGAACCATGAAGGTCTACTTATATATGATTTTTTTCAATAAATATACAGTGGACTCTCCCTGTCTCTAGGTTTTGCAGCCATGGATTCAACCAATAGTAGAGTGAAAACAGCATTTTCCATCTGTGACTGGGAATCTGTGCGTGCAGAGGGCTGAATGTATGCATTGTTCAACACCACCTTATAGAAGGGCCTTGAGCACCCTCAGATTTGGGTATCCACAGGTGGGTCCTGGAACCAATCCCCCACTGATACAGAGGGATGCCTGAGTTTGGGGGCAGTCTAAAGTTGTACACAGATTTTCAACTGTGTGGAGCTCAACATCCCTAACTCCTGCATTGTTCATGGGTCAGGCATACATTTCTCTTTTAGTTCTCTGTTATGTGTGTGTGTATATATATTTGGGGGTTTGTATGTATTCTGAGTTCTGATTTTAAAAGTATTTTTGTAGTATCATAGAAACAAAAATGTTTGAAAACAACTAATATAGAAAAATATATAAGAAGTCTTGTTTCTTATACTGTGACAAAAGGAGAAAAAAGAAAATTATATGTAATACTTGTTTCACAGAACATACATTCTTCAACACATCCTCAATAATTTGTCTTTATTTTAAAATTTGCTTTGCAGCAGGAAGGTGCCATTTTTCAAATTTTAATGTTTAGAAATAAATCTTTCATATAAAAGCTATTAGACTGATGCCTTTAATATTCAAAGTTACTAGAGTGATTCTTTTAATATTCACCTCCTAAAGTTACCAGACTTAGTATGGAAGCTGAAGACACTGTGAGGGAGAAACTCTTCCACCTGTTGTAATATATTAACCTCACAGTATTCTTAGTCATTATGTCTCAGGCATCTTTGAAAGTCTAATGGGAAAAAAAACCTTCTCTGGAATAATGTTCAAGTTCACAGCCACACAAAATCTGGCATATAATTACAGAGCATATACATCCTCCAAAGCTTCCTAAATTAAGAATATTTGATTTTCATTTCATGAAATTTGCATACTTAAATGATTGCAATACAATCAGGGATGAAAGAGTTAAATCTCATTTGCTATAATTACTTTAGAAAATATGCAAAACAATCAGGAATATATTACATTGGCAACAAATCATACTCTAAACAGTGCTAATTTAATGAGCAATTATAGGTATTCTACCAAATGTATGGTCAGTGATTTCAAGCACCTATCAGTCAGTGCCTTGTTCATTAGAGTGCACAAATGGTGGGTTACGTGGTAATAACTGTGAATGACAGTTCAGCTAGTCTGAAAAATTTAATATCAACTAATAATCTAGGAAATCAGTAAAGCATTTTCTGAATGTCAATAAATGTTTCTACTTTTTAATATAAAGACCATGATCAAGCATAACCAATCATGAATCATGTTGGCACTGAAGCATTTCTAAATACTAAGAAGAGCCACGCCTTTTGTTTCTCTCTCTTCTTGGAAGAGAATGAGATGAAAAGAATTAACAACTATCTCTCTGGGGGATTTAGAGAGCTCTGACTGATAAAAATTCAAACTCTTTCCTCTTCCTCCTACTGCTTCCCAGTAGTGTAGAGACTTATTGGAATTTTTGATGTACCTTGTTGATCTAAATACATTTAAATGAGCTGTCATATTTAAGAAATCAATATACCAAAAACTAAACTTTTAAGAGTAGATTAGTACAATCTCTTTTCACAGATCAAACTTCAATTACTTATTTTCACCAAATTTGAATAAGCCCTCTTATTTAAAATTTCCAGGTATCAAACAGAAATAGGAGTTAAAAGGCTGAGCCATCCTGGCCATCATTACCTGGACTGTAGCCTTTGGAAGCCATGCAAAAGAGATGAAGATCTTTTCCTTTATGTTAAAACCAGCAAAACACACCATCAGAAATGTAGTCAAAATTCGTATTAAAACTGCAATTCCCAGGGTGGCAACACAAAGGCCTGTTAAGAAATACTCATTTTTTAGACATAATGGAATACTTGGGGAGAAATTGAATCTCATAGTTATTGATTCAAAATACTATCAAAAATACTATCAACAGCAATAATCTAAACCTGTTAAAAATTTAAAAGCTAAAAATCGTTAGGCATAATTTGTCAAAACATCAATACAGCAACTGGCAAAAGTAGGTTTACAGTTGTGTGTGAAACACAGTTTATTGTTTTATTATTATTAATTATTGGTGTTTTGGGGGAGGGGCATATACACTTTACTGTTGTACGTAGCACTTAGAGCAGATGACTAATGAATGTGATGGTTGGTAAGTGTGCTGGTGTATCTCTTAACAACACAGCTCACAAACGCTTCTTACAATGTCATTAAACATTTCTCCTCTACACATCATTGGACTTTAGGTCACTTTGAGTTGCAGTGTGGGACTCTGTTACATAAAGCAGCAGATCATTTACTGTGTCTTTTTTAAACTGAACTAATTGGGGTGACATCGGTTAACAAAATTATATAGGTTTCAGGTGTACAATTCATTAATATTTATCAATTACTGTATTATTTATTTGTATTACATCAGTAAACCTATTTTGTCCATCCCTGTATTAGGATCAATCAGATAATTTATTTAAAGGAAAGTATTTTCCTTAGAATAAAATGAAAAATTAATTAAATGTTTGAATTTCTACAAAGGAGATTTAAATGTTATTTCTCTTATGCTTTAAAGTGAAAAGCATACTTTTTCCCATGTGTTTATTCAACAAGAATTTATTAAGTGCTAACAATGCCTAAGAGTATTTGGACTAGGTACTGGGTGTGCAAAATACATGCAGACTTTGCTTCTATAAACTTCAAAGTCAGAGGAAGACAGAAATATAAACAAGTAATTAATAGACTGTAAGGTAAGTGAAGTATAAACATATTGGTAAGAGAGCAAGAAGAGGGAAAAGTCAGTATTTTCATCAAAATCGGTGAGAAATCTTTTTTTTTTTAGATTTTATTTATTTATTTTTAGAGAGGGAAGGGAGGGAGGGAGAGGGAGAGAGAGAGAGAGAGAGAGAGAGAGAGAGAGAGAGAGAGAGAGAGAGAGAAACATCAATGTGCGGTTGCTGGGGGCCGCGGCCTGCAACCCAGGCATATGCCCTGACTGGGAATCGAACCTGCGACACTTTGGTTCGCAGCCCGCGCTCAGTCCACTGAGCTATGCCAGCCAGGGCGAGAAATCTTACAGAGCCTAAGACCACAAGTGATATACAAAATATTTACCTGCCAGTATGGAGATAAGCAGCCAATCAGAACAGAGCTGGCTGGGCACTGACCAATCAAAATAGACACTGTTAGTGAACCAGTATTTTACCACACTGGCGTTTACACGGACTGCCCATTAGCCCTGGTCCACATTCACAGTACTTCACTCAGTCCTTTAGAATCCTTTGCTGATAAAGATAAGTTCACCCTGATTTGCAAAATAAGGAACTGTGACAAGGGGTGCTGCAGGCTGCCGGACCTGAGAAGCGCACAGTTAAGGTGACTGGTAAATAATAGGGTGATTTTTTTAAAAAGTAACATTCGTTAGGTGTTTACTCTGTGCCACAGTCTGTATTGAGCCTTAAGTGAACTGCTTTACTTAATCTTGACAACCTGTGGGGTAACTGTTCTCATTTTACAGTTGAAAAAACTAAAATTCAGAAAGGATAAATAACTTGCCCACGTTCAAAGGCTGTAAAACCCCGGCAGACATTGCCGGGGGATCTATCGTGAACCTGCAATATGTTTTCTTTATAGAGAAGCCATGTGGCTCTTTGTTGAAGGGCATTCGTCCCTGGTTGGTAAATTTTCAGAAGTATTCATTGCCTAAAATACATGATACAAAAGATGATCTCATTCCCAGGAGGGAACATTAAAAGTTTTAGGAGAGGATGATGAGAAAGTTTCACACACACTGAGTCTGAAATTCTGTAGGAATTACATAAGTGGTGATATCCAATTAGCAATGGTGTGCAGGGTGGAGCAAAGGCAGGTTTACAGTTGTGAGTATGTACAACAGAGTTTATTCTTGTATTATTTATTAATTGTTGTATTATTTTCTACATAAACAACTGTAGATCTGCTTTTGTCCCACCCTGTATATTGAGAGAGGAAAATTTTGGAAGCATACAGTAGTTCATAATCAAAGACACTGAGTGTAGATGAGCTCAGAGATATTATGCAAACAAGTAAGTAGCATACGAGCTTTAGAAAAAACTTAGATGAAGGGCAGCATTTAAGACAATATGTGTGAGTGTAAAGAAGGACTCAGTAAGCTCTGGAAAAGAGAAAGATTCAGAATTCAATGTAGAGAGTGTTTTAAAGGTCTTCCAAATGCTGTTGAGGGCTCACATGAAATAAAGACCGATAGATATTCAGAGAACTCAGCAATATAACCTTCATCAGAGCAGTACTGGTGGTGTCATAGGGCAGGAACTGGGCTGAAATGTATTGGATAAAAGAATAAGAATAAGTTGAAATGGAAAAAGGGCATATGGTTACTTAGTTTTTTGGAAAAGTTTGGAAAGAGGAGAGAGTTAGATTAGCAGGTGAGGAAAGAAGTGAAATGGAGAAAGAATTTTTAATTGTGTTAAAATACACATAAAATTTACCATCTTAACACATTTTTAAGTATAGAGCTAAGTAGTATTAAGGTAAACATTCACATTTTTGTGCAATTAATCACTAGAATCTTTTCATCTTGCAAAACAAACTCTGTACCCATTAAATAAGAACTCTCCATTTCCCCCTCCCCCAAAGCCCTGGTAACTACCATTTTACTTTCTGTCTCTACGAATTTGACTACTCGGGATGTATCAGATAAGGGAAATCATAACAGTGTTCGTCTTTTTGTGACTGGCGGACTTCACTTAGTAGTGTCCTCAAGGTGCATCCATGTTGCCGCATTTATTAGAATGGAAGAATATTATTTTACGATAAGAGAGACTAGACTGTTTAAATTCTGAAGAGGAGAAAACTGACAAGTATGCACACAACAAGTGTATTTAAAGATGTATGAGAAGCATGAATGTGTCAGATGCAGAAGGAAGTGACAGGGGATCAGATCCTGGGATGAACAGAGATGATTGTGATGCCAAAAAAAGGAGGGAAAATAGAGAACATAGTTGCAAATTAACTTTGAGTACAGTGCTATGAGTCAAGAGAGTTTTAATATGATGGCTTTTAGATGCACAAACAAATAAAAGAATGAATGAACAAATATTTCTTTTCCGTGGGTACATATTATGGAATTAGTTAATTTTCTTTAAAATTCTGGCCCTTGATCAGAACAAGGCTAGATGAAAACTCTATTCTTGGAAAAAAATATTTTAAGGCCTGTATTTTTTTATAGTAGTAAACAGTATTTGTTTTCTTTACAAGGAACAGTTTTAAAGATATAAAATTTACTGTCGTAGACTGACAAACATTTTCTAACAAACTACTTAAAAAGACAGATCATTATTAAATTTTTATATGACGTGACAGTGGGAACCACTGAACATACACCTTCTAAAGATATTTCAACTGAATCTAAAAAGAGTTGACTTTAGCCAAAGCACTTCTTTTATGTTCTTACCTACAGTTTCTGGTCTGAGAGATGCAATTGATACCTCTGCCCCAATCAGTCCAAAGAGAAGGGGCTGAAAGATGTCCCAGGCAACGGAAACAATTTTTTCAACCTCTGCCTAAAAGAAACACACACATACATACACACATACACACATTTTTATTATGTCAAGTTACCAGTTCTGAATTTACTAATTTGAAATGGGAGTCAATTTGAGCTGAGATAGACTTTATTTCTGTGACATCTATAAATTAAGAGGTTAGCTGGAGAGAGCAAAGATACTGCATAAAGATATTTCTAACAAAGTTATTAATTATATGAGGTGCTTTAGTGTGGTTTGCAAATGGATCTTAATTATAGACAGTGTTATAATCCTAGGAGAACTTCTACTTCTGAATACACATTTGTGTGTATGTTTACATATTGTTAATACTTAGTTTTATTTCATAGTTTAAAATGTTATGTTCATTTTACCAGTACGATTTAGAGATCTTATAATATTAGTACACATATCCAGATATGCACCTCATTATTGCTGCACAGGAATCTATGGTGTGGAAGTACCACATATATTTAATAATTTCTTTATTGATGGGCCTTTAAGTTGTTTCTAATTTCATTTTATCTTTACAAAAATACTGTTTAAGGTCAATTCAAATTATGCACAAAAATAAAATTCAGGCATAGTAAAGTGCTGTTCCAGTTATTAATTTATCGCCTTGGCTTCTTTCACTACTGCTCTGAAGAAAATGGAGCCTGGCCCCTTAAATTTCTCCTTTGCTAGCTAGCACCATATTAAATCTTGTCAGCAGAGGGTGCAGAAGAGATGTTGCCAGAGGAAGGTGCTCTTCCTGGTTTCAGTGGCTTCTCCAGCTGAGTCCTACAGCACCAGGCTCCTGCAGCCCAAGGGGCTTCTCCAGTGCCAGGATCCTACCTGGTGGCTGGCAGCTTCCTCCAGCCTACTTCTGGGGTGGTTTCATAGCCTACTCCCTTGGCAAGATACCATCCCATGTACCCTAGGCAGTGAATTTCTTGGAAATTTGGAGGGTGGACTTTGAGCCAATTCTGCAGGCAGGGTACCATGGTAACTCCTCTGCCATCCAGTGAACCGAAGTTCTAAACAAGGTCTGGATTCTCAGCTCCTGGGCCAGGATAGGTGGAGTGGGTGGTGGGAAGGGGATGCTCTATTGAGCCCTAGAGGTTTACAGCTGCTATTCCTATATTCTTTAGGGGTCTCTTTACATCTTATAAAATAATATCTAGTTAACAATAAACTTGCCATATTCTAGTTACTATGTGATTTCTTTGTTGTGATAAAACCTGAAGTACTAACTTTATAACACATAATGCAAAAACCCTAGGAAAATATTGACATAATTGACTATAGTATAACTAAAATATCCGTGGCCAAAAAAAAAGGTGATAAACCAGGAGAAACATCTGTACTAAGTATAGCAGAATAAGGAGCAATATCCAGTCAACAAGAAAAAGACATGGATTTGATAGAAAAATGGGAAGTGCCTATGCACAAGTATTTCACAGAAGACACAGAAAGAAACAGAAGTGGCCAAAAAAATGTTAAAATGGAGTAATCAGAGAAACAGAAATTAAAATGATATACCAGATTTTTATGGGGGGGCAATCACATTGGGAAATATACTGAGAAGTTTTAATAATGTCAAGTACTTGTAATATTTTTAAGGAAATTTACTAATTGGTAGGAGAGCAAATTGATAATGCTTTTCTTGGTAGGCAATTTATCAGTACCTATTACAGTGTTAAAGAATTTACATTTAACAGATTTTTTCAATCAACTAATATAAACCCATATTTCTGGGTAACATTTTTTATACTTAAAATTACACATCTTTAAGGATCTGCACTTCCATATATATAGTATTAAGCAGTATGACAAGGAGGATTACATAGTTTCTCTATTTTCTTTGTTTTATTACCTGATATTTTATTAAGTCAAACCATTGTGAATCAGGGTCCCTTTGTAATCAAAACGTGTGTTCTCATCCTGGGTCTGCCACTCACTAGCTTTGCAACCTTGGGCAATCTGTCTGATATTGCCAAGTCTTCATGTCCTCATCTGTATAGCAGGTCAAATATATATATATTCATCAAGGTTATTGTAAAAATAAATGAGATAACATATGTAAGATGTTAAAGGTATTTTTCAGAAAAAAAATGAGTATTGAGGAAAGGTCATAAGAGTCTGCTAGACCTCACCACATGAAAATATAAGATATTTGTGTGTAAAAAATGAACAATATAAAAAGGCATGAAGGGCTAATATCATATATATGTGTATGTATCTGTCTGTATCTTACAGATCAATAATGCATTAAGCTTCAGAAGAAAATTGACAAAAGACAGATCAAAGAAAATGAAAAAATACAAGTAGCTAAATATATGAAAAAGTATTACATTTTGCTGCTAATCAAAGAAACAGAAATCAAGATACCACCTTTTACCTATCAGTATGGTACAGCCTTTTAAAAGGGAAAACTGATACTTACAGAACAACAGTCAATAATATTATAATAACTATGCATGTTGCCAGGTGTGTACTGGAAGTAATGAGGGGAGCACTTTGTGAAATATTGATAGGATTATCTAATCAATATGCTGTACACCTGGAACTAATACAAAATAATATTGAGTATAAACTGTAATTGAAAAATAAAATAAAAAATAATCAATGTGAAACCTCTTTCATAGAGCAATGTTATTTCTAGAAAATTCATCCTATAGATAAACTCAAAGATATGCTATACATTGTTGATTTTATGATATACATTTTCTCACATTTAAACATCTCTGAAATTATGAAGTCATGTCATAATTTGCAACATTCTTTTTCTTTCTTCTTAGTCTTGACAATGCTTAGAGTTTATGACACATGGTATATAAAAGGATATTTTATTGAAGCATCTTTTGTTCAGCAGAAAATGGAAAACAATCTAAATGTGTGTGAGTAGGAGACTGGTTTAATAAAGTACAGTATAGCCATAAAATGTAATACTCTGCAGCCCTTACAAAGAATAAGGAAGGCATCAGAGAACTATGATTATGATATATTTTAAGTGAAGACATCAAGTTACAGATTGGTATATAGTGGAGATAAGAAAGTGTGTCTTTGGGCATCCATTTGTATGTGCATAGAAAATAGCTTTTATGATAAAATAATTTTATTAATCTGATGTTAAGAAAACATCTGAAAGAAAAATTAATCTAATCAGAAAAGGAGTTATGAGAAGGGCTTAAAATGAAACTTACTTTTTGGCCGGCCCACCCCAGGCCTGCGAGAAAAGCCAGGACCAATGTGCACAGTCCTCCGGAGCCAGGGAAGCTGAAGTACGAGCTGCTGAACACTGCAAGCACGGACAGCCCCAAGACGAGGAAGGCTCGTTTCCACATTAGTTTGTCCTTGAGGGGGAAAGAAGTTTAATTACCTCAATTATTTCATATAATGGACCTTTAATTACTGGTGTTTCCATCTTCAAAACTTAGTGGAAAGTCAAAATGCCTGTACCTGTACACATAAATGCATGACACAACATTCCCTTTCCTTTACTCAGCAAAAGCGGAGATAACACAGGTGCAAATATAGCTGCCTCTTTCACGAATAAGAGTTAGCTTCCTGTGCAGTTATCAATGCAGAATTTTACAGGGTTGAATGGAATAGCAGAAAAAAGCACCATGGGCTTTGGAGCTAGACGAGCCAGGTTTATTCTAGCTCTTTCACATCACTGGTATACGTGTGGCACGTTCCTGTGCCTCTCCAAACTTCAGTTCCTCCTCCCTGAACACTGTTACATCACGGGCTTTTGTAAAGGATAAAGATGTGACACCTGTTAGTTTAAGGATCTCTGTTTACTCTTTAATGTTATGCACTTTGGGTTTTTCTTTCTAAATCCTTACATACCAAGAAGATTTAAGAGACTATTGACTGAGTAATTTTTGTTGTTTTATTTTTTTATGTTTTTGATTTTTAATGTCTTAAGAAATGTGTACCTCTTTCCCTTTACTTTTCACTGTTCTGCCTTTAAAAATTCTTGATAACTTTAGAAGGCAGGCATGTCTTTAAGAATGCTGGACTTAAAGGCAGGCAGGATCCGAAAGGGAAATAACTGAGTTCATTTCCAGCTCCACTGCATTCTAGCTATGTGACCTTGGTTCAAGTCACTTCCCTCACCCGAAGTTTGAATTTCCTTATCAGTAAAATGGTTGTGTGAATAGTACTCTCATCATGAGTTATTGTGTGAGTACTACTGGATCAGTGCTTCCCAATAGAAGGGTGAGTGACCATGGAAATTTCTGTATCTGCACTGCCTGTGGAAATGCTCCCTGCTATAGCCACATGTAGCCAGTGGTTGTCCTATTAAACAGAGTGGCACTTCTCTGAACTAACCATATCACTTTACACACATTTTTCTCTTCATTTTTTGTGTAGAAAGATCTTGTCACTTCTTTTATGCATTCAAAAAATTTACAATATATTTCACAATTTTCTTTTATAAGACAATTTTACCTTGAGTTTTATGGAGCATAATGAAAAGTCAAATCAACATACTGGTAATGGATATACTACTTTTCTTAAAGTTCTACTTAAGTTTCTTTCTTAAAGTATATTTTATTGATTATGCTGTTACAGTGGTCTCATTTTTTCTCCCCTTTACCCCCCTCAGCCCTGTGCACCCCCCACCAGCATTCCCCTACCTTAGTTCATGTCCATGGGTCATACACTTAAGTTCTTCAGCTTCTCCATTTCCCATATTATTCTTAACTTCCCCCTGTTTATTTTGTACCTACCATTTATGTTTCTTATTCCCTGTCCCTTTTGCCCCATTCTTCCTTCTCCTCCTCCCTACTGATAACCCTCCATGTGATCTCTATTTCTGTGATTCAGTTCCTGTTCTAGTTGTTTGTTTAGTTTGTTTTTGTTTTCATTGTTTTTTAGGTTCAGTTTGTTGAAAGTTGTGAGTTTGTTGTCATTTTGCTGTTAATAGTTTTGATCTTTTTCTGTTTCTTCAATAAGTCCCTTTAACATTTCATATAATAAGGGCTTGGTGATGATGAACTCCTTTAACTTGACCTTAACTGAGAAGCACTTTATCTGCCCTTCCATCTAAATGAAAGCTTTGCTGGATAGAGTAATTTTGGATGTAGGTCCTTGACTTTCATGACTTGGAATACTTCTTTCCAGCCCCTTCTTGCCTGCAAGATTTCTTTTGGGAAATCAGCTGATAGTCTTATGGGAACTCCTTTGTAGGTAACTGTCTCTTTTTCTCTTGCTGCTTTTAGTGTTCTCTCCTTATCTTTCATCTTGGGTAATGTAATTATGATGTGTCTTGGTGTGTGCTTTCTTGGGTCCAACTTCTTTAGGACTCTTTGGGCTTCCTGAACTTCCTGGAAGTCTATTTCTTTTGCCAGATTGGGGAAGTTCTCCTTCACTATTTTTTCAAGTAAGTTTTCAATTTCTTGCTGCTGTTCTTCTCACACCCCTATGATTTGGATGTTGGAACATTTGCAGTTGTCCCAAAGGTTCCTAAGTCTCTCTGCAGTTTTCAAATTCTTGTTTCTTCATTCTTTTCTGATTGAATGTTTATTTCTTCCTTCTGTTCCATATCATTTATTTGATTCCCAGTTTCCTTCCCTTCACTGTTGGTTCCCTGTATATTTTTCTTTATTTCACTGTGCATAGCCTTCACTTTTCCCTCTATTTAGTGACCATACTCAACCATTTCTGTGAGTATCCTGATTACCAGTGTTTTGAACTCTGCATCTGATAGATTAGCTGTCTCTTTCATCACTTAGTTCTTTTACTGGAGCTTTGATCTGTTCTTTCATTTGGGCCATATTTCTTTGTCTTGTAACATCTGTTATATTGTAAGGGGTAGAGCCTTAGGTATTCACGAGGGCTGGGGCAACCCATGTTGCTGCATTGTGGTGCTGTATATGGGGAGGGGTCAGAGAGGGAACAGCCACTTGCTAGGCTCTTGGCCGGCTTTTAGTCACTTTCCCTGCTTCCCATAAGCACACTGGGCCCTTCGGGTGCTGATTCCTTGGTAGGTGTGTTTGTGTATATCCTAGGACACTGGTTCTCTCCCATGAACTTTCCTGTGAGCCTGGGAGTTTCTCTCGCCACTGCAACCCCTTCCCCCAACTTTTTACTGCCAGAGGTTTTGAGGCTTTCTTTTCTCACTCTGGAACCCTGGGTTGCACCATCTGTCTTGTTTCCGGGTTGTCTGTCCTTGTTTATCCACAGGCAAATGTGGAACCACCAGCCACCAGCTGTCACCTCGCCCACCCAGTCTGCCAGCCACTGCCTTGGCATGCATCCTGTCCACTCTGGCTGTCTCCTCCCCTTCTACCGGTCTGGATGAATTTTTCACCTTTAACTCCTTGGTTGTTGGACTTCCATACAGTTTGATTTTCTGGCAATTCTGGTTGTTTTTTGTTTTTAAAATTTGTTGTTGTCCTTCTTTTGGTTATGCAAAGAGGCAAAGTGTGTCTATCTGTGTCTCCATCATGGCCAGAAATCCCTCTACTTAAGTTTCTAGTCCATTCAAAATGCTCTGAAATCTTCATTATGCCAATTCTTATAGAAAAAAAAACATTTTTATGTTGAGAAAGCATTGTGAACCATGAATAACTTTGATCTTCTGTGGTTAGAAATATTGAACAATATTATAATAAAATATTAAGATGTATGTATAGTATTAGAAAGTATTAGAATCTAAGGTATTTTGATACTAAATAAAAGGCACACAGTCATTTTACATCTTGATTTAGTTGACTATTATGTCTCTGATATTAGTAACATTGAGCATCTTTTCATACGTCTATTGGCCATCTGTCTGTCCTCTTTGGAGTAGTGTCTGTTTAGGTCATTTGCCCATTTTTTAATTGGGTTACTTAGTTATTTGGTGTTGAGTTTTATAAGTGCTTTATAAGTGCTTTGGAGATTAAATCCTTATTAGATGTATTGGTGAATATGTTCTCCCATTCTGTGGGTTGTCTTTTTAGTTTGTTGATGTTTTCCTTTGCTGTGCAAAAACTTTTTAGTTTGATGTAGTCTCATATTTTTATTTTTTCTTTTGTTTCCCTTGCCTGCGAAAATATCTCTGATAAAAAAATTTCTGTGAGAAGTACCTGAGACTTTGCTGCCTATGTTTTCTTCCAGGATTTTTACGATTTCAGGTCTAACATTTAAGTCTTCAATCCATTTTGAATTTATTCTTGTGTGTGATGTAAGAAAGTGGTCTAGCTTCATTTTTCTGCACATACCTGTCCAATTTTCCCAACACCATTTATTCAATAAATTATCGTTAGCCCATTGTATGTGCTTGCTTCCTCTGTTGAATATTAATTGATTATAAAGGTGTGGGTTTATTTCTGGGCTCTCTATTCCGTTCAATTGATCTATGTGCCTGTTTTCATGACAGTACCAGGCTGTTTTGATTACTAATGCCTTGCAGTATAGTTTGATATTAGGTAGAGTGATTCCTACAACTTTGTTCTTTCTCAGGATTGCTGTTGTGTTGTGTTGTGTTGCAGGGCCTTTTGTGATTCCATATAAATTTTTGAAATATTTATTCTAGTTATGTATTATGAATGATTAATAAAAATAAGTAGAAATAATGGAATAAAAATTAATTTAAAAATTTAAAACTTGCATATTGTATTATTTTGTAATCGTTGTTATTCATTTTACAGAGAAATTTGAACTATACAGAATACAAATCAGAGAAAAAACCTTTAGGACTGCATTGAAATCTTATGCATTTAGTTCTCTTCCTACATCTCATAGACAGCACTGTTAGATACGCAGTTCGGACATGGGGTGCCGTTTTCTAAGTTATGTCCCTCACACTGGCTTTGGAGGAAGTGCTCCAGAATGCTTTTCCAGTAACAACGCAGAGCATAACTTTCCCACAGATTATTTCTTTTACCTGGTCACTGCTTGGAAAGTACCGAACAAAAAGTCCAAGAAGAGATCCAGTTGCCACACCAATTACCACCTCCAAAACTCCTTTGAAGACATTAAAAACTGTGGAGCCTTACAAATATACGAAAAAGAAAAACTTTAGACAGAACTCTAAATCCATAAACAAACTTGACTTTAAACATCAACATAAAGCATCAAATTACACTGAAGGAAGAGTTTATAGATGTTGTCTGAGCTCTACATTCTTGAACTTATGACTTAAAATGTCTAATAGACCTATCTTATAAGAAAAGCACATATATATGGGCTATATATTTCAAAACAGACATAAGCTATGACTAGTGTACTCTGTTGTATGTCTACTTCCATAAATATTTACTTAAAGAGCCCAAGAAAACATGAAAGGTAAAAATCATGATTCAGAGATAATTTTTTTTCTGTTATATTCAGAGGCTGGGTACATAGGCAGATCTAGCCTTTAAATTGCCATTTTTAAGTAATAAATGCACACTGATATTGAGTAGCTGTGATATAGATAGAATACAGTAATTTAAGAATTTGGCAATTAAAATCAAGAATCTCTTCTTAGCACAGTGAGTATAGGGGTAAGTCCTAATGTTTATTCTAAAAGTAAATCTGAAAAAAACATTATTTTTGAATAGGGATGTACAGTCACAGGGATGTAAAGTACAGCATAGGGAATACAGTTAGTATTGTAATAACTACATATGGTGCCAGGTGGGTACTTGAAATAATGGGAGGATCACTTTGTGTATTATATCATTGACTAACCACTGGGCTATACACCTGAAACTAATGTAGTTTCTAGTAAAGTGACTAATGAAACTAATAAAGTAACACTGAAAGTCAGTGGTAATTTAAAAAAATTAAATTATTTTTGAAATTGCTCTTGGAAGTCTAGCTTCTTTGAAATATTATAATATAGAGAGGTAAGAAGAACCAGTATATTCCACCTAAGCATAAAAGATTTAGAACACTTGAATGAAGAAAATCTTTGTTAGCACATTGTGCAGAAAATTGTATTAAAATTGTTCAACACATAAAGCCTTTTTATACACTATTGTAAGAGTAAATGTACTAACAAATTATTGTGGTTTCTTCTTATTGTGATGAAGGATGCAGACTATGCCACCTCAAAATATGCTCCTTTGGCATAAGGATTACTTTGAGCTGAAGGCACTTGAGGAAAACAGATACACAAAAAGTTCCCTGCACCCCCTCTGTTTGTTTAAAAGTTGGCTACAAATTTGTAAAGGTGTCCCTATTCTCTCTGGACCAGGAAGGCCAGAAGTTAACCACTGAGACCACCAGGGACCCTCACAGGCTCAGAGATGGCACCAGAAGAATTGACATAGCAGTTTTTCCTAAGACCAGCCATTATCTACCATTAGTTTCTCATATATTTGCCTTGCCAAAATTTGTTGGCCTAAAAGCTCGAAGTCCTTATCCTTTGTCTGGCAATTCTCTACAAAATTACCGTTCTTTGCTAAGATGCCACATAAGCCCAAATTCTAACCACTCCTTTCAGTCACTCCTCCCTGAGTACTTCTTCCATTTGAGTGTGGCACAACACACGTGCTAATAAACTGTTGTTCTGTTAATCTGTCGTTGGTCAGTCTGACTTACAGAGCCCCAGCCAAAGAACCTAAAATGGGTAGAGGTAAACCAGTTTTTCTTGCCCTACAGTTTCAATCATCTCTCTGATTTAAAAGTATAATACCCTTGTAGTCATTTTATTTAATTCAGACAACTCTCTGTTAGACAGAGTATGACTGTCAAAAGTATGTTATAATAGCATATGTCTTGACCTATTATAGTGAATAATTTGCTATAAACATGTAGAAAGTACTAATTACTTTCAGTCTCTTCTATAGTAAGGTATTTTTTGTTTGTTTGTTTGTTTGTTTAAGACTTCTTGGACTCCATCTCTGAAATTCTAATTCAGTAAGTCTGGCAGGGCTTGGGATCCACATTTTTAAGAGGCCCCAGACAGTGCCCATCCAAAGGATGAAGGACCACACGTAGAGGAACAGGCAGAGTGAATGTAGCATTGTCAACAAGGAAGGTTTTTTAACCTATCCATAGCCTTCTCCCCCCTCACCCCACCCCTGATTATGAAAACCGGAGCAAACCTTCCCCACTGCCCTCCCTGCCCCTGCTCTTCCCCCTCCCCCATGATTTTCATGCAAACTCTGATGCCCTTGTTAAAAACAAAACTATGGGACCACAATGGTGTCACTTGTGCTAAAGCCCATGATACCAAACCTAGATTTAATACCTGATTTAACTGCAGTTTCAACATGTCTCAGAAATACAATCTTATTCAAAGTCTTGAATTTCCTGGTCAACATCAAGGAAACATCTTGTCATGTGGACCTTCTCTACCTACCACCCCCCTAGAAAGAAGAGGCATTCTGCATAATACAAATCCTTGTCTTCCCTTCCTGCCTCAAAAGAAAAATACAGTCTGGTCTAAAAATAATCCTTTTTTTTTCTTTTGTCAATGGCTCCCTTGCCTTTCCCTTCTTCCCATAACAATATTCCATTTTTTCCTACCCTTAGAGCAGGGGTGTGAAACTCATTTTCCCCAGGGGCCACATCAGCCTCAAGGTTGCCTTCAAAGGGCCGAATGTATTTTAGGACTGTGTAAATGTAACTACTCCTTAACTGTTATGGAGTTGAAATTACATTTGGCCCTTTGAAGGCAACTTCGAGGCTGATGTGGCCCCCGGTGAAAATGAGTTTGATGCTCCTGCCTTAGAGAGCCCTTCTAGTTGCTAAATGAATGTTGCCCAATTCATGAATCACATAATAAAGCCAATTAGATCTTCAAGTTTACTTGGTTATCTTTTTCAACACTCTATAGCTGTGTTTTCAGTTCCTAAAGGTTTGGCTTTAATTAGTCTAAGGTGGGGCCATATATATATATTTTTTAACCTCCCCACTAGGTAATTCTAGTGTGGACAAAAAAGGACCACATACTAAACCCAACAAGCTCAGGGGTGGCCTGCATGGTGGGCTTTACAAACACAGAGGCTGAAAGTAGCCACATAGGATGGTCTGAATCATAAAAATTCCTAACTAAAAGTGGGTCACTGTGGGTACTCATATCCCCGGCCTGCGGCTTCCTTGGCAGAACCCCTCATTGTTATCTTGTTCTCTGCACACCATCCCTGTATGCTGTAAATGTTAATTGTTAACTACCTTGGATCCACCAATGTAAAAGAAGTATGTGTCTCTCCATTTTACTCTTTATTCGATCTCAGATATTTTGCCTCTTTGTTTTCTCTTGCATCCCTAATCTATCACCAATGAATTTCATGTAACCTCCTGTCTTACAGTTCCTCCTATGATTCTAATGCATAAAATAAGCTGTAAAACTGCTATTCTCCAGAGCAGTTTCCCAATTTGTTCAATTTTGCTTCCCAGACATTATTGTGAGTTTGGCTCATATAAATACATAAAAATTCTCTGCAGGTTTGGATGTTTCTTACCTTGACACTAGAGTGCATCTGAGGCTGAGAATCATTGTTTTAAAGGTGTGGGCCAGGAAAGCAGCGAGAACATAAGTTTGGATAGATACAGTACAGTTAAGACAAAGGCAACAAAGTAGATTTGATTTAATAGGTAATAGGGAATCCTCATTGTTCTTGAAAAGGAAAGTAACATTATGAGAGCCATGCTTTGATAAGATTAATTTACTAGTGAGATACGGAAGGGACTGGATGTTAAGGAAACTGGGGCAATAAGAAGAGATGAGGTTCTAGGTAATCACTATAAATCATATATAACCACAAAATGGTTAAGACAACTACAGGGAACTGTACAGAGAATACATAACCTTCTAAAGTGTTTCTTCTTTATTACTACTTAAAACAAAATATACCCAAATCAGACAATTATCAAGTATTAATAAGACACTCATCTAAATCATTGTTTGTAACCATAAAATATAAAAATGAGAGAACGGAAATTGTTCCTTCCACTCGAACTCTTCTCTGTCATTTTGCTCATTGAAAAATCTACTCAACCTTTGTGTGAGGTCTCCAGATTAAACTTTCCTAGATGGCTCCATGCAAAAGCTGTTCTCCTTTAAATGTTGCTACTTTGCATTCCCCCTTCATTCACTTCCCACACTACTTGAGCAGTGTGTCTAGACAATGAAGGGAGGGAGGGTAGGAAGCTACTAGTTCCCCCTTAGGTAAGGAACTAACTCTTGAGTTGCTTTCTCTATTTGAATTTACCTTAATCAGTCATCAAACAAATATGCCACACTTATTTCATCATAATCTCTCTCTTGAGCTCAAGAGGTCAGCACACTGTGAACTGATCAGTTTACCTGTGGAAAAGGCCATGCCCAAGCATGTGTTGAAGCCAGTGATGGCCAGAATGTCATCAAAGCTGCCAGCAGCCATGAGTAAGGTTGGGACACCCTTTTCAACACCATAGCCTCGTTCCTGCAAAAGGAGCATTGAAGGCACCACGACAGCTGGAGACACAGCACCTAAAACAAAGCTAAGCAGGTAGCACTTTAAACATTTATGATACTATCTTACCCACCCACCATCATCACCATCATTACTAAAATTACAACAACCTCTACTTTTTTTAGAGGATACCCTTTAGATAGTCTTTTAAATGGCAGTGATGCCTCAAACCAGAAACACACATATACAAGTTCTATGGAACACTTTTTTTTTTAAACAAACTGTGGCCATGAACAAGCTGCATTGCAAGCACTTTGCTTGCGTATATATATTTAGGTATGGATGGTCTAGAACAGGGGTCCCTGACCCCTGGGACAAGGACAGGTACTGGTCCTTGGCCTGTTAGGAACTGGGCTGCACAGCAGGAAATAATGGCAGGCAAGTGAGCTTCCCCCCATCTGTGGAAAAATTGTCTTTCATGAAACCGGTCTCTTGTGCCAAAAAGGTTGGGGACTGCTGGTCTAGAAGACCTATGGGGTTAGGACCCAGGCACCTACCTTTAAAAAAAAACATTCACGGCATAAGTTTTAAAAAACACGGCCATGGATTTTTGGATTGGGATCCAGTGATTCTTCTCTCAGGGCTTAGTATGTCAAATGAGACAACAGATCAGAAGGGGAAGGCCACACTGACGGTGATGGTGATACGAAGAATAGAAGCAGTAATAACAGCAAAAGCCTTTATAGTACTTAACACGTGCCAAACACCACTTTAAGCACTTCATATATATTAAATAATTTAATCCCCATAACAACCCATGAGGCAGCTACAGTCATCCTGTTCGTTTTGCAGATGAGGACACTGAGGTACAGAGAGATGGGGTAACTGCCAGAGACCACATCCTGGAGAGTCCCAAGCTAGGACTTGAGTCCAGGCAGTGTAGCTCCAGAGTCTTAACCATGAGAACTCACAACTAACTTCTTGCCTACTTATTAGCCCTAAATTTCTACTAAGCAATTTATATTTATTTTCCTCTCTTGGTCCTTAGCCATTTGAAATAAGAACTGACAGTGGAAGGAAGAGACAGCAGGATCACCTAATCATATGTTGGAATATTAATAGTCATAACACTATGCTGGAATATCCATGTTATATTTTCTGATGTCCTTAAGAAAGTGCTATTATGCATTCTCTTGTATAGAATCAGAGAAAGCCCTAAATGACCATGCATATTTTCACATAACAAGGCAAAATCATTACCCCAGTATAAATGCCCATTGCCACGGTAAACCCATTAGGAAGTGGGCAAGAAGGGCGGACGTGCATGCTTCGACAAGACAAGGACCCATGGATAATCGTACACAGACACCCTTCAACTTCTTCAGGGCCTGAAATATAAAAATAGACATATTAAAATAAGCCTCTGAACACCAACAGAGAAAATGACATTAAATGCTTTTTCTTCAGTATTCAGGCCATGTCTGGATCATCATGAAGTTTGCAGGTACTGAGTCTTACTTCACAAACATTTCAGTGTTCTAAGTGTTTTGGAGATAACTTATTTAGGCCTCATAACAACCTGTAATGTAGGTAATATTATTACCACCATTTTTAGATGTCCTCATCTGAAAAGGTGTAAGTTAGAGTCATTTGCCCAAGATCATGAAACTGGTGAATGGTGGAGTTAGGTTTGAACCCAAGCAGGTTTAATCTTCTCAGTGTTGGCTTTATGCATGATTTGTGGCCCCAGAATGAACCCAGGTTAACGACCTTCATCCCCCCAAATATTCACTCCCATCTTCAAAATCATACATGACTAAAATCATTTTAGAAAAGTATACTTGAGACTCATTCTGTATTCTAGGCAGTTTCCTAAGCTAGTATAGTTAGCCCTGAACCCCTATTTTGGGCTTTGGGCTTCAAATACAGGATGGCTCTCTCATGATCATTATCTATAACTATGGCCTATATCTCTGACAGAGAAAGGGGAGTGCTTTATTCTTGGTGCTGTCCCCAAACAGACAATAACTGTACTTTTCTCCATAAAAAAACATGGGGACATCTCCTGGGGATAGTCCTGCATGAAATAAATTCCACTGCCTTCTTGAGAATGCCATGAAAAGTGTCCATACCCATTTTCTAAAGCTGTGATTCTGATACTTGCAGCATTGGAGGAACAAAATTCATGGTCAAGAGTTAGAATTTTACAACTTCAATACCTTTGAATCCAGCCCAAGGCCAGCACGAACCAATATAATAGACAGGGCTAGGCTTCTCAAAGCAGAAGACCACTTGTGCTTGATCTGCACGTTCTCACTGATGACAGGGATATTTCTTATGAGAAACCCAGCAAGCAGCATGCCTGGAATGGAGGAGTCAAACAACTCTTTAGTTTTCAAACACAGAAAATCTTTTTTGGCATTTTAGATGTGAACGAGATTATTCTATAATCCCAGAAACTACTTCCTTTATGCTTAGTCCTTAGTCCTCATTAAACTTTAATTTAAAAATTAATATGATAAAGAAGCTAACAAAAGGCTTTAATATGCAATAAAAATGATAGACTAAAATAATCATTAGAGTAACTGAAACTGAGAGAAATAGGACAGTATTGTAAAGTGTGATCAAATTCTAAATATGAAATGTTTTAATAAAATATCCAATTCAGTCATCTGTGTGCAAGCAGCAAACAGCTCCTGAAATTACTTGCTATGTCAGATTACCTGAAATATCAATAAATACCTATGTGGGGCTCTATTTTACCTTCAAACCAGATAATTTAATTAAAAAAACACAACCTGCTTTACAAAGGCTTAGAAGTGCCTCCTTTCATTCAACAATTCAACACATACCAACACCTTCAGTATCTGAGACACTAGGGTAGGTATTTGAGATAATAATGGACGAAGACTTGGCATCACACCTCAACAAGCTTGCAGACTGTAGGGGGGCAAGACAACTGGACAGACGCAATATTATAAAACCATAAGCATAAGCTGAGACAGGAGGATGAGTCACAGCAGTTCAAAGGCAGGGAAGGGGGAAGGAGAGGAGATTGGGGGAGTTGAGAAGTTTATGGAAGACACTGAAGTTTCTTCCAAGGTATGACGAGAAAGGGCGACATAATCTGGAATTTGCAAGTAGTTGAGTGTGACTGAGAAAGCTGAGTGGTCGTGAGAGAATTCTGCCCTTGCTGATGTCACACATTCATACCAAGGGGAAGACTGCTCCACCAGGCACTGTGAGGCTCCTGCCCTCCTCTCACTATGTCCTCATAGGCACCACATGTTAAAGGACTAAACACATTTACTGAGGTTGAGATGCTTTGTATGTAAGCTGTGAGAACAGAGACGAATTATAAGCACAGCTTTTAGTAACTTGCTCCAGATACCTCCAGGCAAGAAAGCTGAATTCACCTCTAGGCATCTCTTATCACTGCCATTTAATCTAGAATAAGGTCTCAAAGTCCTGAATTCTGCAGTCATGGTCTTTCTAGAATTTTTGAAAGTATGCAGTAGGGTATAATAGCTCTTTCAAAGATTAGTGATAAGAACATGGTAAAAATTAACACATTACAGGCAGGAGTGAAGTAACAAGTGTATGTCCAACCCCACTGTAACTTTCCACCTTCATTCCCCAAAAGTTTCCACTGTGAAGTGTTTTCTGTGCTCTTCCAGAACGTTTCATTACCTACTTAAGCACAACGTGTGTTTGCATGCATGTGTACTCTGTGTTGGACTCAAATGGGAGCATGTTTTTACACCACTGTGCAATTTAGGTTTTTTTACACTTAACCCATATTCTGAACATATTCCCAATGATGCACATCTATATTTGCCTTATTCTTTTAAAAAGTCATAATAGTACCTCATTGTTTGAAAATATCATAATTTTGGGGCCAATTCATGGACCAGTTCATATATCAGGTACTTATTAAGTGCCTACTACATGCCAGCCTTACGGTACTCTTACGGTTCCCTGGTAACACCGAGGTGAGCTGGACCAACATGGTCCCTGTTCATATGGAGCTTATAGCTTTGCAGGTTTGTGCAAGTATATCCACAGGATAATTCACAGCAGTGGAAATGTTAGGCTCTAGGGTCCAGGTATGTATATCATTTTTATAGATATTGATGAATTACCAGCCAAAAGTGCTACACTAAACTTATATTTCATTAGTATGTCAATAGTTTCTTATTGAAACTTAAAATGTGGATCTAAACCAGTCCTAGATTGATTATAGCACATAATTACCTGAAATCCAGAGAAATAATAATCTTACAAGAACTCAAAAATATGTCAAGAGTTTCTTTAGGAGTTTTAGAGGGGATAAGGGAGCACTTTTTATTCTCCTGATGAACGTAAAAACAATTTCCCTGGGGCCGTGTTTCCTTCGCCAGTGGTCCGGGTTGGTGTGGCCAACTGACTGCCACTCGGCAGGCATCCCCTTCTTGCCTCCATGCCCGCAGGAGCCTCTCCTTGGTTGTGCAGGAAAGAACACCTACTTTCAAAAGGTGTATTCTTTTTTTAAAAATTTGTATTATAAATTTTTAAAAATATTTAAAAACTATCAACAAAAGTCCAGTTTATTTCAAATACTGCCAAGTTATTTTTGAAGCAAGTCCTTAGTGAAAAAGCTTAGCAAAGAAGTCACTCACATCACTGACAAGCGAGTATTGGTGTCACGATAAATGCTGGTGTTTACTTTTGTTTATGTTAATGTTAATGAATAATGAAATTCATAATGAATGAATGTTATGTTAATACAAATGAAAATATGTATGGGAACTTCACTTGTTTGTCAAAGATGTGAGAGACTTAGAGTATATCAAGTCCTTATTTGTAGCATTTGCTGATTTCTGTATTATAAATACTTCCATCCTGGCCCATGTTAAACTATGAACTTGGTGTCACTGAATGTGGAGCTGGAAAGAGATGGGCACTGCCACACCATGATATGGTATTTCCACAATCTCAAGAGCAGAGATAAGGGGAAATGTCATAAAATACTTAGGATCAGTTTTAAGTATTTATTGTTCATGTTTTTAATGCAAGTTACTCAACTCTAAGTACAGTATTCGAGGTCTGTCCAGAAGGTATCCAGCCATGTAATATGAAAAATAGAGACAATAACTGAAGATGCAAGATACAAGAAACACTGTACATAGGACAATGATACCTTAGTCCCCTTCAAAGTAGGGGAGTACCTTGGGACCCCACACAGTTTTCCCAATTGCCATCAGCTGCCCCATCATATTCTTGAGTCTCATCGATTGTCTGAAATCTCTTCCTTTTCAAAGGCGATTTTAGTTTTGGGAAAAGCCGTAAGTTGCAGGGCACCAAATCTGGGCTGTAGCAGGGCTGAGTTACCTGGGTGATTTGATGTTTCTCCAAAAACCTCTGCATGAGACGTGATGCATGAGCAGGTTTGTTGTCTTGATGAAGCTGTCAATCACCAGTTGCCCATAGCTGCATCCTGCTGAATCATCCCAATAGTTTCCACATGGGAATGTTCAAGCTTAATGCAACATTTAATACAGATTCGTTGCTCTACTCAGTCATTTTGAATACGATGGCCACACTGTACACATGCTCACTTAATGGTGTCTACCACCCCCACTGACTAGTACCGTGAAGTCGTCATTGTTCATGCATATGCATTCCAGTCCACTGTCCTCGGCTGCCAGGTTACATCCATGTCACACAAACTGTTCTCCTTATATTAATAATGGCTGGACTTTTTCTGGACAGACCTCGTATATAACTTAATTTTTTGAAATCACCTTTTTCACAAGTGACTCACAAAAATCCTCAAAGTTAAACTATCAGTTTTTAGCTCTAGCACAGAAAATCCAGAAATAGTTTATTCCTTTATTTCCCAAGGTTTCCAAAGTACTACTCCTAAAACATAATTCACTCTGAAGAAGACAGGATGTGTTTAGCACTTACCAAGAAGAGGAGGCAGTGGAGGCAACGTAGGCAACTTAATGAGCCCCATAATTTTACCTCCAATGACGGCACATATGAAAAGGATTATAATTCCAAACAGGTTTCCTCCAGGAAGACATTCGATGCCAGTAATTGACCAAACTACAGCCCATAGAAGAACAACCATGGTAACTGAAACAAACCAGGAAAACTAGTTTCTATTAATAAGTTGTTATATATAGATTTTAATATAATCTAATTTTTAAAATAGACAATATATGCAAGTACTTACAACCATGTGTAAGTTTGAAGACCATTAGTAATATGAACAACCAGGTAATTACCAACATCTCAGGGAGTTGAATGTCACCAAGAGTGGTTTTGAATCCACCTGTGTGACCCCTCCTAATTCCTTCCCAATTTCCTTTCACACTGCTGACAGGAGCTGTTCTGACATTTTTTTTAACATTTCCTTATTTTTCCTTAAAATTTTACAATAAATATCTCACTAGTTAATATTAAAAAGAGAAACAATCACTACCTTTACCCTCTTCGCAGGAACATGAAAACACTTGAACAATCCCATTCCAGTATTTAGTTCTGCCTTGATTTAAACATTACTATTGTTTCTTTCCTACTGTCAATGTTTGTTCAGAATTACCCACATACTTACCTATTTTTTAATCATCATTCATTATGCTATATCATAACCCTCACCTGAGACAACTATCTTGTTGCCTGAAGTATTCCCTTTAGTAGAGGCATTTGTTAAAATGTGAAATGCTTCTGTATTTGAGAACCTTGTGTTCTACACAACTGTACACTGGAAATAGAAAGGCTCATGGGAAAAACAGAGTGATTGATTTTGAGAGAGAGCAAAACATCAATTTGCTATTCCACTTACTTATGCATTTATTGCTTAATTCTTGTAGGTACCCTGACCGGGGATCAAACCCGTAACCCTGGCATATCAGGACCATGTGCTAACCAACTGAGCTACCTGGCCAGGGCCTCGATTCAATTTGTATTCACTTTTACTGCTTGATGATGCAAAGTATTAACGTGCCAGGAAAAATTATGTACAAAAATGCAAATTGCATATTACACTGACACAAGTTCCTACTTACCATTGCAAATGAGTTAATTCATGACACAGAAACACCCTGCAGCCAAGTATGCCATATTTCTTATTAGGATCTGTTGGCAGTCAATTCTGCTTTACTTGTGTGTAATTATTTTTATTTTCATTTTTAAAAGATAGTTCTTCTGGGGGTATACAATCCTAAGTTCAGAGTTCCTTGGAAATATTATTCCTTGTTTTTTCAGGCTTTCACTGGTGCTAATTTTCATTTTAAGTTTAATTTTAGCTCTTTTAGAGAATTTTTCTTTGGCTGTTTTTAAGTATGTTATGTTTAGGTATGGCTTCCTTTGGTTTCCTTAGTTTTTGTTTTTCATTAATTCTTGAAAATTCCCAGTCTTTATTTCTTTAAATACTTCCTCTTCACCATTCTTCCTGTTCTCTTTTTCTGGAACTATGATTAGATAGTCACACTCTTTTCTCCATGTTGCTAACCTAATTTCCATATTATCCATTTTTTCTGTGTGTACTACATTCTAGATAATCTCTTCAGACTTATTTGCTAGTTTACCAATTTTCTTTTTATTACCCTGCTGCCTAATCTAGCCACTAAGTTTTCAATTCCAATTACTGTTCTATATCTTTCATTTCTAGAAATTCAATTTGGTTCTTTATTAAAATAAATTTGTTCATTTTTAAAAGTAGTTACTTATTTTGTACTTATATTTGTATCTCAACTTCAGATATCAAAATATTTTATATTCTATATTTTTAGATAATGCAATGTTTTGAAATGCTTCCTCATGCATGTTGTGATTTTTCTTGTTTGTTTTTGCAATAGTAACCTATTTCTTGAAACTTTATCTTTTAGAATTGTTGAAGCCTTAGGTAGAATGTGAGTTTTTCCAGAAAGGATCTGAATTCACTTCTCCCACATACTCAGAAGCTCATAATCCAGGACCAGTTTTAGACATATTTTCACCTTGATTTTCTTCAGTGACTTTGAAGCATAAATGAGCATGAAGTTATGCATTTTTAGGGGAGACTACTCGCCCTGGCCAGCACCACAATTGAGACTGATAGATTTAGTTGCAGCCCCCATCTGCAGGGCAGGCTTATGTCGAATCAACTATCACACTGAGTCCCAGCTTTGTATGGGTAAGGGAGAATGATTTTTCCTACTATATTTCTTCCAACCCGGGCAGGCTCTAGTGTAGCCTCCCATACTCACGGTTCTTAAAATAAACCTCAGATTCATTGGTGTTTTGCAGAAGCCTCTGGGGTAAAAGTCAGACTGAGTACTTATTTATTTCTTTTACTTATACTTTGTTTTGGTGTATGATGATTTCTTGTTTCCTTGATGGATAAATGGTACATTTAAAAAGACAATATATTTTTTTCAGATGTTTTCATTGGTATTAGTAAAAAGATTGTTGAGGCTTGTCTACCATATTGCTAGAGATTGAATCCAATATTCCATTTTTTAAATCATAACAGAATTGTTCAGAATTTTCTAGGCTTGTGATGCTATTGTAGTGAAATAACTGAGGGGCTTTGGTATTTTCCAATGGCTATATGAGCTGAAATTTCTATGCAGTATTGGGGGTATAATAGGAAAGCAGGAATTGCCAGCTACTAAATTTTACTTTATCACAGCATAAACCCAATTTTATACTAAATTTAGCAAGGTAGAATTAAGAGTTTTCCATTCAATGGAACTTTAATGTCTCATATATCAGATCTGGTTACCCAGTTATTGATGGAAACAAATAACTACTGTATTAATAAGTATATATTGGCAATATACTTGACCAAAAATACACTGGTAACATAAATTATATAATGATGGAAATAAACAAACACTGTCAATAATTAAATTTTTTTCCACTTTAAGACCACTTTTTTAAACCTCTAATTTTCCATATTCAGAATGCAGTTATAGATACATAGCAAATGTACATTTATAAGGTTTCCTTAAATCACATTTAATTTAGTTAATAATTTGCTTCTCATTTTTTATTTTGGAAAATTGAATATTCACATGTAATATTGATATTTACTTATTAATAAGGATAATTATATATACTGAATGGTCACAGGAAATAGTATAGGAAAAACACAATCTTGCAAGCCTCAGGAATAGAAGTAAAGGAAAACAGGTGAAGAGATGTTTATACACTGAGTTAAATTTCTCTGGCACTTTATGGACAGTGATTATAGAATTAAAACATAATGAGTCTTGCCCTGAATGGTGTGGCTCAGTGGGTTGAGCACTAGCTTGCAAACTGAAAGGTTACTGGTTCAATCCCCAGTCAAGGCACATGCCAGTGTTGTGGGCCAGGTCCCCCCACTTGAAGGGATGCGAGAGGCAAACTATTGATGTGTCTTTTGCACATTAATGTATCTCTCCCTCTCCTTCTCCCTCCCTTCTCCTCTCTCTAAAAGTAAATACATTTGTTTAAAAAAATTTAAAATAAAAATACTAAGTCTCAAAATCACAACATTCATCATACCCTTTCCTTATATCAATCTCTATCTGTTTTACTGTACACATTTTAACTAGAAACGTGCCATAATTTGAATGATACAAATTCAGAAAAATAATAATAAGGACAGAAATGATATTAAATTATCTGTAGTCATATAAACTAGTATATATTTTGGAACATGGTTTTTTTCTATGTGTTTTAAATCAAGATTTTTTTCTTATGCTAATTTGGAAACATACCTAATTTCATTGAAAACATGTCTAGAGCCTAAAGCATAATGTATTATACTTGGTGTCCATTGTCGCAACTGAGAATGGTAAAAATGTCTTTTAGAGCTCCCAAATAAAAAAACAACTATAAAGTGAGCCTGACTTCAATAAAGATTACTTCTAGATTAAGTATGTTACATTCTACAACAAACATGTTATATATTTACTCTGGGAGGCAATATATTTATTTCAATGATGCTGTCATTCCTCAATACAATTTTTGAAATTGTCTTTCAATCTGCCTTTATAGATAATTTGCAAACCCCTTCTCCTTTTTCCTGTTATACTGCACATCCTCCAACATGCATAACAAGCCCACACACATTCACACTAACACGTGCACTTCCTTTCTGAACAACAAAAAAGCGTTATTCAATTTGAACGCCCATATATGCACCAAATTGGTATAGGAATAATGTTTGGCTGCTTCGAAAAACCAAATCCGTTCTTCAAAGACAAAAATATCTCAAACCTAACAATATTTAAAATCATGCTGAGATAAATTCCCAAAGTAATATATCCCAAATATTTTAAGTAATAACAGCTTTACTGGAATAAGTTGAACTGCAAACCAAAATCCTTACTCATAAAATGATGTGATTCATTTGGAAGTATAGACTGAGCTGAGTTCGCTCAAACATTAATTGCACTAACTAATGGTAATGACAACCAGCACTTACGTAGTGCTTTTCTATTTTCCAAGTGATTTCTGACACTTTTCTCATTGGAGTCCTAACATAATCCTGCGAAATAACTCAGATACAGAAAAGGAAAAGGTCCTTGGTTCTTGGTCTTTTCCTGGCAGCTGGAATGGTGACCACAGTACTCTTGGAAGTCTGCTGTCCGAGATGGTAGAGCCCTTCAGCCTGGGCCCTTAAATGACTATGTGGATCAGAGCAACTTACCATTGTGAATTGTTTACCTAGTAGTTTTTATTTTACTTTTATAAAGGTTTTATTTATTTATTTTTAGAGGCAGTAGATGAAAGGGAAGAGAGAGGGAGAGAAACATTGATGTGCAAGAGAAACATCAATCAGTTGCCTCTTGGACTTGCCCAACTGGGAACCTGGCCCACAACCCAGTCACGGGCCCTGACAAGAATCAAACAGGCGACCTTTCAGTTTGCAGGGCCATACCCAACCCACTGAGCTACACCAGCCAGAGCTCACCTAGTAGTTTTGATGTGAGAGAGAATTAAACTTCCTTTTGTTCTTTAAACTGTTATTTTAGGATTTCCCATTATATAACAACTCTGTCTTTTGTACTCTGTTTCTGAACTCATCCTTACCATTTACATACCATTCGTTATTACTCTATCCAGTAAGCCATGTGGAGGGCAAGTGAATGTTTGCTTCAGTCTTTGCAAACAATTTGATTCAGATGGTGTTTCCTGCAGGCTTCTTTCACTGGTATTCACAATGCTACTTCCTTCTGTTGGTTCATTTCCATTTATACCTTTGAGGTTCATAACTGTTTCCTCCTATGTTTAAGGCAATTAAAAAAAATCTTTAAAGTTGCATATTTGCTATACATTTTTTTAGTTACTGAGTTATCACATCAAAAATCAAATTTCCATTACTAGAATCAAGGCTAACACCGGGGAAGTACACAGCTTTATTATTAGTTAATTAGCTAATACCTGTAACAAGAATTATCTTGGGCATATTTACCATTGAGTCACTATTTGTATCATTATAAATGCTTAAGTCACATAAAATTTCATTATGTTTTACTATACTGGGCATAAAATTAAGTTATTTAAGATATAATTGAAGGCAATAGTTGGTAAATGTATAAAAGTGGTTCAGGAAAATGTAACTATCTGTGGCAAAAACCAATTCACATTCATTCATTTACTTAAATTTAAGCAATGAAAGAACCATACTAAGGGTTAGGCTGGGAACACAGTGAATTTCACAGGGTTCTTATTTGTCTAGCCTCATATTGGGCCAGCTGCTAATGACCATCTGGGAAAACTGGTAGTCACACCTACCCTGGACTATATGAGTTTGGGGATCAAGAATAGGGAGAATTGTTAACTGAGTGATAGGGAATAAAGAGAGAACACTTGTATCATGGATTTGGAAACATGTAGTCCTTTCCTTAAGGAAAAACTTGGGATGTACTTCATCCAATTACAGGTTTACCTGTGTTTCTTGATACATGCAAGCTGTGTGATTCACCCCTGTTGGTTCCAAATCTTCATGTTCAATTGTTTTATTTTCATCCTCCATGATTTATAATTAAGAATAAGATGATAGAGGAACAACAAACAAGATCCGTTTTTCGGCAAACTGAGATTTAAACAAATAAACAGCAATTTGAGCAATTTAAAAGAATGAATTGTACTTAGTTTTTCCCCCTTAGAACTCTGAATGGTTAAAATATTTGAAATTAGAGTATTCTTAGTTTTCAATTGCTAATCTTTTCTTTGATTACAATAACTTATCCTAATTCCTATTTACCTTTTACTGCTCTTGAAAAAGCCCTTGTTGACCAATATACTTCTTTTAGGGTGCAGCACTTTAAAGATATTATTTACTTACTTTTAGAGAGAGGGGTAGGGAGGGAGAAAGAGAGGGAAACATCTTTGTGAGAGAGAAACATCAGTCGGTTGCCTCTCATACCTGCCTTGACCAGGGACTGAACTCTCAACCAGGCATGTGCACTGACCAAGAATGGAACCGTGACCTTTTGCTTTATAGGACAACTCCCAACCAACTGAACCACACCTGTCCGGTCTGACCAATGTACATTTATATGATTTCTTTCCCACCCTGCTTTTGGAATTTATACTTAAAATATTCCAAGTAATACTACCATTAACTTTTCTTATCTAATGGGCCAACTTGATGAAGCAGAAACGCTGGGTAATTTTCCAATGTTCATACAAGGAAATGAGTCACTAGATAGAAATCTATGGATTCTATCATTTTCAGAGAAACTAGAGTCACTAATTCTTTCCTGGTTGTAATTTCTAAATTAAAGTTAAAAAAATACAACAACAATGATCTGAGTAGCCAAAATGTCTTAGACATTGTAATAAGTATTATGGCATGCTCTTGTTCATTAGTGTGGGCAATTCAAAGATACAAAAACACATTCTTTGTTCTCTGTAGGTTTCCATTATGTCAGAAAAAGTAAACGTATACAAAATAACTGAAAAACCTATAAGGCAGACTTTCCTAAACACTAATTTCAGTCCCTTCACCCGAAGCTTCCTGTGCTATACACATATAGGCTGTGAGCCAAGTACTCCAATGCTTAGCCATTTTGCAGCCAGAGGTGGTCACGTGTCCCAGTTCTTTGTAATGAGATATAAGTGGGGGTCCTTGTGGGGGACTTCCATTCTCAAACAATAAGGCAAGGCTTTCAAGGATCATGCTGCTTACTCTTTGCCCTCTCACATTTCCTTTTCTTTTTCCCCAAAATGTAGGTACACTACATAGAGGGCTAGCAGCCATTTTCAACCACGAGACTAAAAGGTCCTACACCAGAGACAGCAGATAAGTAAAACAGGAGGAGCTGGCTCTTTGGTGGCATCCTTGAGTTGCTACGTCAGTTTTGGGCTGCCAAACTTTGAAGTAATTGTTTACACCACTATTAGAGGTCTGCTGGCTCTGGAGGTGGACAAACCCAGGCCCACAGTTCAGCTCCATCATACAGCAAATTGCTTAGCCCCTTTGTAACTACAGTAATTCCTTATCCATACAGTGGAGGCTAGAGTAGTTCCAACCAGGCATATGGTGATAGTGTTGGTTATCAGCCACTCATACGCCTTCTTTCTAATTATCATAATTCTCTAAGAATCTTTTTGCTTTTCTTATTAAGCTGGACAAGGCCTCAGGAGTCTTCAAGAATTTACAACTTAATCCCACTGATTTCATTTATTATGCTTTCTACCTCTTTCTTTCAAGGCTAACTTCTTGATTAGCATAATTTAATAACACCACTGTCATTTCTTCATCTTTCTCATTAGAACAATTACATAGAACTCTTAGGCAGCATCACTGCAATCACCTCCTTTATGAAATTCCCAATATCACGTAACTCTCACTTATGAAGAATGTTTTTATTTATTTATTTATTTCCTTAAAAAATTATTTTTGTTCAGTTACAGTTGTCCCACCTTTTTCCCCATTGCTCTCCCCTTCTTTGCCCTCCCTCCCACATTCAATCCCAGCCCCATTGTCTGTGCACGTGAGTCCTTATTCATGTTCCTTGACTTGCCCCTTTCCCTTCTTCCCCCCATTATTCACCCCTTCGCCTCGGATCACTGTCAGTTTGTTCTTTATCTCCATGTCTCTGGTGTGAGTAGAAGAAAGGGAACAAGATTAGAGCAGATTTTAATTGACTTAGAGACTAAAAGAATAATTCAAAGGATCAATAAATCCTGAAGACTATTTTTAAATGACCAAAAAGTATAAATGATTATTTCTAACAGACATAAACTATTGGCTAATATGAAGCTTTTACAAATTTATTTGATTAATATTACTGTGGTGTTTTTAATTGAATTTATTGGGGTGACACTGGTTCACTAAACCATGCAGGTTTCAAGTGTACATCTCAATAAAACATCATCTGCACACTGCTTTGTCTACCCATTACCTCAAGCAAAGTCTCTGTCCTCATTTCCACTACTTTTTCCACTTTCAACTATACTCCTCCCTGCCTTTTCCTCTGGCTATCACCACTCTGTTGTCTGTGTCTATGTGTTATGTACAGTATATATGTTTTTTGATTAATCCCTTCATCTTTCATCCAGTTCCCCAACCTCCCTCCATGCTGATAGCTGCCAGTCTTTTCTCTGTGTCCATGAGTGTATCTCCACTATGTTTGTTTATTTTGTTCATTAAATTCCACATATAAGTGAAATCATGTGGTATTAGTCTTTCTCTGACAGGCTTATTTCACTTAGCATAATAATTTCCAGGTCCATCCACACTGTCACAAAAGGTAAGATTTCTTTTTTTATGACTATGTAGTATTCCATTGTATAAATGTACCACAGTTTTTCTTATCCACTCATCTACTGATGGGCACTTGGGCTATTTCCAGATCTTGGCCATTGTAAACAATGAACAGTGAACATAGGGGTGCTTATATTCTTTTGAATTAGTGTTTAAGGTTTCTTAGGATATATTCCGAGAAGTGGAATCACTGGGTCATAAGGCAGTTCCATTTTTAACTTTTGGAGGAAACTCCATATTTTTTCCCACACTGGCTGCACCAGTCTGCATTCTTACCAACAATGCACAAGCGTTCCCTTTTCCCCACATCCTTGCCAGCACTTGTTGTTTGTAGATTTATTAATAATGGCCGTTCTGACCAGTGTGAGGTGATAACTTGTGGTTTTAATTTGCATCTCTCTGATGATGAGTGCAGTTGATCATTTTTTCCTATGTTTATTGGCCATCTGTACATCCTCTTTGGAAAAGTGTCTATTTAGGTCCTTCGCCCATTTTTAAATTGCATTGTTTGTCTTCCTGGTGTTGAGTTGTATGAGTTCTTTATATATTTTGGAAATTAACATCTTATCAGATGTATCACTGGCAAATATGTTCTCCCATTCAGTGGATTCTCTTTTCATTTGTTGGTGATTTTGTTTGCTGTGCAAACCTTTTTAGTTTGATTTACATTGTGGTTCTTTGTAACATAAACAATCAAAACTTGGAACGTTGCACAGTACATGTTACCTGTGGGTGTTTACACAGCTTTGTATTCCAAAAATTTTTTTCCTATTTCCCTACAGTCTCCACTATGGGAGCCAAAGTACTTATTAGAGATCAGAGAGGTATTACAGGGAAAAAACTAAAATAAAATACCAGCATTTTAATAAGCCCAGGAAAAGAACTTAAAACTAACTAGTTAACTCTGTTTATTTTCTATTATGTTTTCATTTCCAAAAGAACACACACCACCATTCTCACTTCAGAAAACCACTTAAATTTAGTAAAATTACAAAATGTAACCTTTACTTAAAGCAACCATGTTCATAATATTTACTATTCATAGTCACTGGGTCTTGATATTACAACAGTACATCCTGTATTAAGGAGGTACTTTTGGCAAAGAGAGAGAGAGAGAGAGAGAGATAGATAGACAGAGAGAGAGAGAGACAGAAAGGGAGAGAATATGTAAAAATGACCTTTGAAGGGTTCTAAGAAATGTCATGAAATCCATTGTAAAGTAGAAAATTTATACTCCTTACTCATAGGTAAACACTTGAGGTCTCACCGCAAAGCCCATTAACTTTTATAGCGACAGCATGGATGGAACTGGAGAGCATTATACTAAGTGAAATAAGACAGGTAGTGGAAGACAAATACCATATGATCTCACCTGTAAGTGGAACCTAATGAACAAAACAAACAAACAAGCCAAACAGAACCAGAGACATGGAAATAAAAAGCAAATTGGCAGTCACCAGAGGGGAGCAAGTAGAGGGATAATGGGGGGAATAACGGGAAGGGTCTAGCCAAAGAACATGTGTAAAGGACCCATGGACAAGGACATCAGGGTGGGGACTGCCTGTGGGAGTGCAGGATGGGTGGGTTGGGGTAGAGCAAAGGGGGAATAATTGGGGCAACTGTAACTGAACCACAATTAAAAAAAAGAAAACAATTCTGATGACTTTGCCCATCTATCTGGTTTCCAAACCTTTGGAAAATAAGATGTTATAAATTAAAATGTAGAAAGAGATTGTGACAGACGCAAACTGACAGCAATGTGAGTGAGAGCCACCAGTGAAAGACACAGAAAAGATAGCAACCTCAGGCTGTAAGTATCTTTTTCCGTAGGGAATCGTTGTAGTTTGGGCCTGCCCTTTTTTGGACTCTGCATCTCCCTGATTCCCTATTGATGTGGTTCATGTGAGACTGTTATCCTCAATCTCCCCAAACCTCATGCTCCACCAATGCCCCAGAGATGAGGACAGGCCTGGCCAATGAGGGAGCTCCTTGCCAATCAAATGATTGTTCCAGTTATGAGAACCTGGCCCATAACTCACCAGAGAGTCAGCTTTAAAGTATTTACTAGAACCACTGGAAGAGCTTTCTTTCTATTGGGGTTGCTGAACTCCAGAGTTGTTAATAATCCTTGTGACATACAAGGAAAGCCCTCCAAAGAGCAAAATGACCACAGAGCAAAGCCGATTCCTAATATAGAAAGGGAGAAAGAGAAAACTCTAAATTAATAACCACACTGTTGGTACACCTGGGAGCATCTCCCCTTCAGTTAGGTGAGCCAATACCTTCCTTACCAGTTTCAGTTCGGTTTCTGCCACTTGCTA